ACGTCCATTCTTTTTCTGTATTCAAGACTGCACATGATGAGGAGAGACACGCCTCCTGAGGGATCCATGAGGCAGGAACCGATGCCGGGAAGATCCGAGATATGGAACCGTGTGCAGAGAGGTAGGGAGCAAGCTGTGAATTGCAGCAGCCTGATTTCTGCTGGGAAAGCACTTGATGTCCTCCCTCTTCTTGTGGGTGATCGTTGTGTGTCCTAGAGGGAATCACAGGCACTACCTAAGTACAGCAGGTTGTCTGAAAGCGTGATGGGAGGGTGCTTTCCTCAGGTGCCTACTGGAGCTCACACCCCTCCCCTGACTGCAGACCCCCACCCCCACCCCCTCCACCATCCCCCTACTGAAGAGCTGAGCCTGGAGGAGTTGTGAGCCTGAGCTCCCTTCCCACCTTGACGCAATGGTGAAGCCATTTGAAAAAAAAAATAAGGCTGTTTGAGAAAAATGACATTTACCCCTTATGGAGATTCTTTTTTTTTGTTTTGTTTTATTTGTAATCTACAGTACTATATTCATCAATGAAATTCGTGCATTTTACTCCTCTAATGTTATCGGAATAATGCCACAGCTTTACTTCTCAATCCGCCTGTTTTTTTCTTTGCTCCTGACTGTACGATTAGTCTACTCCAATTCTTCTCTTCAATATTTACGTAATAGCCCGTCACACATGCTAGGCCTCATCTAGAGACCGAAAGATTGCACCATTACCTGGCGGCTTGAGGAAAGAATGCATGCCGTTCGTGTTGCGGGTTTGTTGATATCACCCACTCAAGGGTATTCTCACTTAGGTTTTTAATCTATGAAGAAAAAGTGATTTTTTTGGATTTGTATTCAGCACCCCAATTTCAGTATTAATTTCCAGCCAGTTGTACCCCAATCTGTCCACTGTTGAGTGATTACTTATGGAAACACTGGAACCAGGGTCCTGGAGTGTCTCCCGCAAGAGTCAGGTGACTGGTATCTCTCTTAGCAAAGAAGTCGCTTGAGTCATGTGGAGAAACCCTCTCTTCAGATCAGGGACCCGAGTGTGGGAAAGAGTGTGAGATGGAGGAAGAAGGCACGGAGGGTATGCAAACCACAATCAACCTCCATCCTTTGTCCCCTCCAGAATCTAGACCGGTTCCCAGGATGAACAGCAGCACCAGCCCGAAAAAGGACCCCGAGATGGCTACGGTAAATGCGACGGGCGTTTTCAGTTGTGCCTGTTTCTGGAAGTTACTCCTGTAGGGACAGCACCCTGTCTTGGCCTTGTGGCTTTTGGGTGTGTTCTGTGATCTATCTGAGACATCCTTCCCCTTTCAGAATGCAAGCTGTTTACCCAGGAGCCTCCAGGCTTCCTCATTAGAGGTCCTCAGCTTACGTGCTTCCTCCTGAAGTTGTAGATGCTTAGAGACAAATGATGAAAGGATGCTCACCCCAAATTTGTGTGTGTGTGTGTGTGTGTGTGTGTGTGTGTGTAAACCCCTGGAG